TTTTAAAGTATTACTCAACTATGAAAAAAGGAATAAATTCATCAGAATGCACGGAAAAGCATTTAGCAAGAAAGTCTGCAATTGAGTCATCCAGTTATTCCTGCTGGGAACTCAAATAAGAGAGCTAAAAACTGTCGTGGTTTGTCAGCTGTGGTTTATGGCTGACTGTTCCACGAACCTATCTCTATCTGTATCTCTCTATATATACACATGGTCCTCAACTTATGATCACAATTGAGCCCAAAATGGATGTTGTTAAGTGAGAAATTTGTTGAGCTTCGCCCCATTTTACAAGTTCTCTCCTCACCTTTGTTAAGTGAAACACTTAATATTAGTAACATGGCTGTTAAGTGAATCTGGTTTCCCCATTGATTTTGCTTGTCAGGTGGCAAAAGGGGAATCACAGAACTCCAGGACACTGCCATCGTCATAAACGTGAGTCAATTGTCAAGCACCCGAATGTAAATCACGTGACCATGGGGACGCTGCAACAGTCATAAGTGTGAAAAATGTTCATGTCACTTTTTTCAGTGCCTTTTAACTTTGAATGGTTCAGTAAATGAACTGCTAAGTCGTGTGTGTGTGTGTGTGTGTTTTACAGAGCCAACCATCTCTGTAATTTAACTATGCCTAACTCAATAAATCCAAACTTTTGGGGGGGATTAGTGAGTAGGAACTCCTACAATTAACATGTCCCAAAGGTGCTTTTGCGAGAGGCAACTGGACTTTCTGCTTTTTCTTTGAAGACATTTCACTTCACATCCAAGAAGCTTCTTCAGCTCTGAAAAAGCACCTTTGGGACAACCATGACTGAGAACCCCCATAGACATCCTGCATTCACACTTGGCACACCCCTTCTTTGTACAGATCCAAGAGGAAAGCGTGGACTTTGGGTGTTTCTGTCACTCCTTGCAAAAAAAAAAAAGGCGAGTGATATCACACTGCTGAATCACAAGGCCGAAGTCTAATTCAAAGATACTATTCCCGCCATCTTTTGCACCACAGCCCCATGTGCAAAAATTGCCTCAATGCAAGGGGGGGGGAGGAGAAAGACAGATATTAACAGAAATTAATAGAATAACAAGAGTTGGAAGGGACCTCAGAGGTCTTCTAGTCCAACCCCCTGCTCAGGCAGGAAACCCTAATACCATTTCAGACAAGTCATTTGCCTCGATGCAAAACCAAAAGAAAAACCCTCTGCCAAGTTTGGCGCCTGGTGCCAAGGCAACCCGAGAATTTGCAGCCGGCGTGTGAAAAGTGAAACCCAGCCTCGACGCTCCCTTTTCAAGGCGGTCCCGGCCACCCGTCTCAGGGTAAACAGACGGAGGAGGGCAGGGTCCAAGGTCCCTTCCTTCCAAGGCGAGAAGGGAGGCCTGCTTCCGAGCCGGGCGGGTCACGGGGCTGCGTTTTCTCCCCACTGGGTCCCGCCTCTCCCCCGGGGAAAGCAGGCCCGACTGCGGCCATGCAGCGCCCGGGACGTCCCGCTCCGAGAACCCTCCCCAGTCGTTGTCGCCGTCGAGTAGAAGCCCCGCTTTCCTCGCTTCCTCCAGGACAGAGGAGGAGGCGGAGGCGGCGAGGGAGGCGCGCGGACCGGCTCCCCGCAAGAAGGGGCGGCAGTGGTCCGTCCCGGGGCGGGGAAGGGGCGTTTGCAAGCTCGGAGGAAGGGCCGCTTCGGGAAGGGGGGGGGGAGAATTAGGGGAGGAGAATCCCGACGAAGTTTCCTACTTTGCGCTTCTTTAGCGGGCAGCGGCGCTACGCGGCGCTTCACTCCTCCCAGTAGGCGAGGCGAGGTGAGGTGAGGTCCTGCAACTGCCCCGGAGGAGCCAAAGCGGGGCGTCCCCCGCCCGGAGGGGCCTCCTCCTCCGGCCCTCCCGAGGCCCTTTCCCCTGCCGTCCGACGGGACCATGGCTAGCTGCGGTCCTGGCTGCAGGCATCCCCAGCCTCCCCCGTTTCGCTTCTGGGACCTGTTTTTTGCCCTGGGAGGCACCCTCGCCTTCCTGGTGGACTTGGGGATCGACTTCTGGGTGGCGGCCGGCTACCTCCGAGACGGCCACTTCCAGTGGGGCGGGCTGGTGCTGGGGCTGCTCCTCCTCTCCTCCCTGATGACCCAGTTCTTCAGCTGGGCTTGGTTCCGGAATGACCCCGATAAGGAAGGCCTCCCGCAGCCATCCACCCGGACTTCGAGGCTGCTCCATGTCCTGCAGCTGGGCTACCTGTACAGGTAAGAGCAGCAGGGGATGCTGCTGTTCATCGACTCGGGCAATTGCAGGCAGCAGACTCTTCTTCCCCTTGAGTACTTTACACAAGGTCTCTAAACAAACAGGAGTTTCCATCACACCAACCTGACTGAACTCTGGCTCCTTTTATCCACCTGCCCATCTCGCTTGTTTGGCTGGTTTTCAGAAGGATGGGTCATAAGTTGCAATGATAGCGTGGGCTGCCAAGAACTTCGCCAAAGTAAGCAAAACACGAATTAACCTAGTGGGTTAAGCGACAGGTGGCTGCACAAACAATAACGTTAGAAGCCCTTGAGGCTGCATTATGTGTGAGTTTAATTACCCAGTTTATTACACTTATCCTGCATATTTCCTGGAATGAGAAGAAAAGTGAAGTCTGTTAGAATTTAGAAAAGTAGAGTTGGAAGGGATCTTGGAGGTCTTCTAGTCCAACCCCCTGCACCACTTCAGACAAATGGATATCCAACATCTTCTTAAAAACGTCCAGTGTTGGGGCATTCACAAGTTCTGGAGGCGAGTTGTTCCACTGATTAATTGTTCTAAATTCTAACAGACTTCACTTTTCTTCTCATTCCAGGAAATATGC